TGGCAAAGTTGGCAGAAAAAAAATCGTTCAAATTATTAGCAAAAAATATAGCATAAACTATAAAAATTGTGGTTTACGGAATAAAATAGACTTTGAATATAGTTTCATAACTAACTCTGACAATAACATGCTGTAGTACCGCAATGGAATGTGAGAAATGGAATGTTCAATGACGCAATATTGACGCTAGTCTGGGCTTACTATAAGTATTACACTAATTACATATTGTTCCGTGGCAGTTAGTTTGTCGTCATTTTTCGTCACAGGTGTTGCAATGCGCATGTGTTTTTATGCGGTTTTTTTCGAATATTATAGTAGCATACTCTTCTTCTGTGACTAATTAAACGTGTCCGATCGATGTACACTATTTAGTGGACAGGTAATCGGCTCTAACATCGTCAAATTGCAATATTAAGCTAAAATTATGTCATATCATTATTGCTGCAAAGTATAGGATATTTCTGTATATAAATCTGTAATAACTCGTACCACGGCCAATACGATTCATAACCGCCTCCGCCGTCTGCATTTATTTGCGTCCCACACTGGTGAGACAAAATCAAGTGTATCGATATGGCAAATCCAGATAGGTGGAGCAGCGAATTCGCGTCATCAGACGTTTGCGGCGCATGTATCATTCGAAAGCAGGCGCTTTGTTTCGTCTACTTCATTGGACTCGATGACGGTTGCCGGAGTAGCGTGTTCGGTTTCTTCGGATATATTAATATTTGCGTACTCGAAGTTGTCACCTATTTCCATATTGACGTAAGGCTGTTAAGAGAACAGAAACCAAAGCTTATATATGAGTTAAAAACGTTTCATCTACGCACAACCATCCTCACGTATTTGATAGTGACTAGGAAAACGCTGGAGCAGGATTGATGAAGTAACAGGTCCGCTGCACGAAGTGTGCAAAATCACGTACGAAACCATACCAATGTATAGGTCAATTACTTGTCATATAAGTAGCGCCCTCTAACGTCAACGCGAATTAGAATATTGATTTGTGTTTTTAAATGTAGTCATCCGTCAATAAAAAATATGTTTTTAAAAGATTCCTCATACTTTAAATGACAAACGATCACATACACATACATTGGGTAAACTAAAAATAGGTTATTTGTCGTCACAGAAACTTTGTGTCGCTGGAGGGAGCGACCAAAGTGGTGTTTGTTAAATTGAATAGAACATTCACTAATATTTTTACCTTAGCATCCTGTATGAGTTTCTTTAAGGCCATGTAAAGTTGGCCAAAATCTGGCCGGTCATAGGGTCTTTCTCGCCAACATTGCCGCATAATCTCGTAGCTGAAATAGAAAATAATATGTACATTAAATTAAAGTTGTTCTGAAGAAAAATCTTGAAAGCATTAATTCAGATATATTTTAGAGGCTTCACGCTGATTCATTACACTATGCAAATAAACGCAATGAATTGAATTGGTGAATTGTATTTGTGTGTCCATTTCATAGGTTCCTACTGCGTCGTTTTGTGCTGTGTTTTACCGCGATGCGCTCTCGCAGTGTTGTTATGCTTGTGAGGTGTAGAACAGATGAAGAATGTTACATACACCGGTGCTTCGCAGTTCAGAGGTTTTGGCATCCTGTACTTCCGTGGAAGTTGTTGATACAATTCAGCGCACGTCAGACCAGGGTATGGAGTTCCTCCTGGGAAGAGACAACAATACAACAGTTAAGTACAAATAGGCATAATACGCATGACATATGCAATATAGGGACGGTCCTCACGTGCTAAGAAACATGCTGTTCCAACCGTTCTGGCAACGACATAGACTTTTCAGGAAAAAGTATTTTTGATTAATTGTTGATGGGCAATTTGTTCCAGGTGCGTGTGAGATTTAGTATTAATTCTAATGCATACTCCTCGGTCAATTTCCGCTGACGATATCAAATTTC